TGTGTGTGTGTCTGTCTGTCTGTCTCTCTGTGCGTCCCCCCCCCGACACACGCACGCACACACAAGTGCACATATACACATACATCACACACACAGACGAATGCACACAACTGTGCCTGTCCTTGTGCGGAGCGTGACATCAGGCAAGTTAGCTGCCAAGGAAGAGAGCAAAAGACGAAGCAGATTGGGCAATAACAAACACATCCACAGGACACTGCTTGTCTGTCAGCGCTAATAAAGACTGCAGACTGTACACCTACAGAGATAGTACTGCAGAGGCCCCACCAAGTGTCAGCAGAAAAGGCAGACAAAGAAATACATTCTATAATTTTTATTGCATCTGCTAATGAATAACCCATCCCCAGCGCACCAGACAGACTGTGCCAGCACATACTGAGCACACGATCGTTCCATGCGAGAATGAAAAGACCTTATTGCAACAACAGAATATGCCTACAAAAAAGTCCAGCCACCGTAAAGTACCGGATACGATCAAGGAATGACGGTCCAAATGGACTGCGTTCGGCTGACACAATGCATGCATAGTTATGTAATAATATAATCGAGGACATGAACACCAGATAACAAGACCAAGGCTGAAGCTGCAATCATAATCAATACAGCCATGCTATACAGCGGAGTTAGAGAACGTGGTCACACAGCTTACCTCTCAGATGTGTTGCGGTTCCCGAAAGCCTGGGAGCACTCCGCTAAGATTTCGAATTCCGCAAAAAAAAAAAAAAAAAAAAAAAAAAAAAAAAAAAAAAGAGATTTCAATTCCCGACTGTTCCGTGCAATTAAGCGGCTCAATCCACCACTTGCCAAATTCGAAAAAGAGAAAAGAAAACCGGCAGTGTATGCATTATTTCCGTCCACCTTCTATCTGAGTATACTCTCACCATTAAACACAAAAAAGTTGAAGAGTACTCCAGCAACGTGCCAAGCAACGTGCCAAGACTGCCATGACCGAGTGTTTCCACTACCGTCTTCACCTGAATAGGGCACCCGGTCATTATAGCTGCATCTGGACTCAGAATTTGAACAAATACGGCTATAAAAGCAACAAGCAGAAACCAAGCGTGTCGCTCCACGAATTGCCGTACACGCACAATAAACAAACCGAGTCTCCCGATGCATCTGTTACTTAATAATATAGCTGTCTCTGGAAAACATGTCTCTGAAAGAACGTCACCTATCCCTGAATCTTACTGGGGGCAAGCGTGCCCTTCCTTCAATTCAAGAAGGAGGAAGACGTCACAACAAAAGAATTACGCTTAACTGACAACAGACGGCGTCACCACCTCGCAGCTCAAAGAAACAACATCATGATAGCGATGTCTGCCTGCCAACTGACAGCAGAACGACAAGCCCGGGGCTTAAGCC